ATACAGTTAAAGGCTCCTGACAATACTTTTGCCGAATGTGTTAAAGTAACATTAGCGATGGAGTCTGCTTACAAAGAAACCAAAGAAATTCAAAGTTCCACTACATTTAAAGACTCTCTTTCTTGTTCTTCGGATCAAAATCAAATTAAAGCACAAAAAGATATACGAAAGAATTCGAATTATCAAACAAACAGAATTAATTTCAAAAATAATAAAAAAAAGTGTTTCAAATGTGGAGATTTCGCACATTTAGCTAATACTTGTCGACATAAAAATTTAAAATGTACAGAATGTCATAGATTTGGACACCTGGCAAGAGTCTGCATGAAAAGTTCCTCATCTAATATCACTAGATTGCATACAGAACAAAACCAGATTAATTTCACAGAAGGACTCGATACGAAAATACATGAATATAACTCAGGAACAGATGGAACAGACATGTATTTCATAAATACAATTAAAGAGTTATTTTTACCTGAAAATACAAGAAAACCAAAAAAATATTTAATAAATGTTTATTTAAATTCAATACCTGTTAATATGGAATATGATACTGGGGCTGCAGTTTCATCAATGTCACATGAAAATTTCAAAAAACTGTTTCCATTTATAAAAAATTTTCAAACTAATTTGCCATTAAAAACTTACACTGGCGAAATTATAAAACCTATTGGATTTGCAACTATGAAAGTAGAAATGGATAATTATTCCTTTGTTGGTAACCTTTACATTATCCCTAACAAGGTGGATTCAATTTTCGGGAGAGAGTGAATGAGATCCAGCGACGACGGTGTTTTACAAATAAATCAAAATAAAATATATGGAAATCAAAAGAACGAGATAATTGATAATTTGAAGCTTAAATTTGAAGAAGTATTTAAACCTGAAATAGGAAACATTAAAAAAAATGAAGCAAATTTATACCTCAAAGATAATGCAATGCCAATTTACGTACCTGCAAGAAAAATACCCTATGCCATAGAAGAAAAGGTCATCGAAGAAATTAGGAGACTGGAAGCCGCTGGAATAATTAGTAAGCTAGAATATAGCGAATGGGGAACTCCAATTGTTCCAATAATAAAAAAAGATGGATCAATAAGATTGTGTGCGGATTACAAAATAACCATTAATAAAGTACTTAAAGATGACAAATACCCAATGCCTAACGTAGAAGATATTTTTGCAAAGACGATGTTGGGTGGTAAAGTATTCACAACATTAGATATTCGAGAAGCTTACTTACATATGTCAATGAATGCGAAAAGTGCAGAGATTCAAGCTATTACAACACCGAGAGGAGACTACAAAGTAAATAGGTTAATGTTTGGTACCAAAGTTGCCCCAGCTATATGGCAACGGTACATTTCCCGAACGTTGGAAGATATTCCAGGAGTATGTGTATTTTTGGACGATATCAAAATTCAAGGATCAAATTTAACAGAAAATATCAATAGAGTTGAAATGGTTTTAAGACGATTACAGGAAGCAGGTTTGAGAGTTAAGATGGAAAAATGTAGATTTTTTGAAAAATCAGTTAAATATCTAGGGCATATTGTATCCGAAAATGGTTTGGAAAAATCCGATGAGAAAATAGAAGCTGTCAAGAATGCTAGAAGACCTACCAATTTAACTGAACTTAGAAGTTGGTTAGGAATGGTAAATTATTATGGGAAGTTTCTAAAAGACATTGCTAGAAAATTACATCCACTCTATAATTTATTACAGAAAGACGTACCATACCAATGGACAGAAGAATGTGAAGAAGTTTATAACTGGATAAAATTAGAAATCGTTTCTCCTCAAGTCTTATGCATTTACAATCCAGATCTTCCACTTTCGTTAGCTACAGATGCTAGTCCATATGCTCTAGGAGCAGTGCTGTCCCATAATTTTCCAGATGGATCTGAAAAACCCATTGCATTCGCTTCAAGGAGACTTAATAAATCTGAAAAAAATTACAGTCAGATTGATAAAGAAGCGACTGTTATTTACTGGGGTGTCACAAAATTTTTTCAGTACCTTTACGGGAGGAAATTTATACTTATTACGGATCACAAACCTTTAGTTTCAATATTTAGTCCAGAAAAACATTTACCTTCAATGGTTGCTACAAGAATGTTACACTACGCTCAATTTTTACAAGGTTTTGATTTCGAAATTATTTATCGTTCAACTTCAAACCTTGCCAATGCTGACGCTTTGTCAAGATTACCGCAAGAATATGACGAAAATGGAAATAACTATAATTGTGACGATGTGAATGCTTACCAGTTACAGCAAATTATAAAATTACCTGTCACACACACAGAAATTGCCAAAGAAACACGGAAAGAAGAAAACCTACAAGACATTTATAATTGCTTATCACAGGGAAAAATCATCGAAAAAGAAGGTTTTATAGGAAGAGATGTTGAATTTTCTTTAGCTGATGGAGTTATAATGAAAAATAATAGAATAGTGATACCAAAAAGTTTACAGAACAGAATTTTAGAAGAATTACATGAAGGCCATTTAGGAATATTCCGAATGAAGAATCTGGCAAGATCATACGTTTGGTGGGTTGATATTGATAAAGATATAGAGAATATTGCTAAATCTTGTATCACCTGTCAATTATCACAAAATCAACCTAAAAAGACAATACATTGTTGGGAGAACAGCAAAAGTCCTTGGCATAGATTACACATAGATTTTGCAGGTCCTTTTTACGGAAATTTTTTTTTGGTCCTAGTGGATGCATATTCAAAATGGTTGGAAGTAATACTAGTGAATCATATTACTGCTACAAAGACAATACGTGTTTTGAGAGATATTTTTGCTAGATTTGGTTTGCCTATTGTAATGGTAAGCGATAATGGACCAACTTTTACTTCGAATGAATTTAAGATGTTTCTAAAATCAAATGGCATTAAGCATCGGTTCTCCGCACCATATCACCCAGCAACCAATGGACAGGCGGAAAGATATGTCCAGACAGTTAAAAATGCATTAAGAAAAATGTCACAAGATGCTGGAGATATAAATTGCAAGCTAGCAAATTTTTTACTTCATTACAGAAAAACATCACATAGTAGTACAGGTGATCAACCTTGTATGATGTTAATGAACTTGGACATTCGTACCAAAATTGATTTAATTCGACCAACTGAGATAACCGATATTCAAGATAACACGAATTTTTTTTATCCTTCACGAGAATTTCAGGTAGGCGATAAAGTGCGGGTACGTAACTATATTAATAATTCAAAAAAATGGGAATTTGGCAAAGTAACTGAAAAACAAGGATTGCTACATTATTTAGTTGAACTTTATGATGGTAGAATCTGGAGAAGACATATTGACCAAATGGATGCTACAGAAGTCGATTTACAAAGGATGCCACCTAAATTTCCCGAGGGAAACATACCTCATACAATCAACCACAATAAAACTATGTCAACTACTACCACACACAATTATGATAACTCTGAGATCCCAAATACTACAAATACCAATGATATTGAAAACCAAATTCCGAGTTCCACTAGCAACAGAAATGGTCATCCAGAAACCGAAACGCAAGACATTACTAACATGGAAAATTCAAGAATGAATGAAGAAAGAGAAGAAGGCCAAAGTGAACAACATACCACTAAAATATACCGAAGATCAAATCGAATCCGGAAACCAGTTAAACGAATCGATTTATAGTTTTAAATATAGTTGGGAGGACTGTTGTGTATATGGACCGTATGGACCGATATACAAGTTGGTGCTCACATTGTTAGATTACCAGTTAAAAAGCGTTGTCAATATATTTTGTCATTATAGTTACATTTAATAAATAGTATTCACACTAAAGTACTTCCAAATATAACAGGGTCGATAATTTTGATAGTGATATACTTGAGGTTGATTATATAAAGTACTTGGGAATCGCAGTGGATAGGAACCTTAAGTGGGATCAGCATATACTTAGACTAACAAGCAACATCCGGAAATTAGTTTACAAGTTTTACATACTGAGGGACATTTTAAGCAAGGGACTTCTAATAAGTGTATACAGGGCGTTAGTTGAGTCACTGATAAGATATGGTGCGGTTGTGTGGGGTGGCCTTTACCAAAACTCTCTGAATCTATTGAACATAGTGCAAAATTACATTCTAAAAATTATATACCGCAAAAACAAACTCTTTTCCACCAACTTACTATATTCAGTAGACATTCTGAGTGCACGTGCAATATATTGCCTCACATCATGTTTTTATATTCATAAAACTCCAAGACTGAAACAATTTGTCAATCAATCAACCACCTAGAAATAAGGTCAATGCCAAGACTCAGTAGGTTTAATGACAGATGCAGAGTATTTATATATGATAATTTTGATAGATTAGTTTACTATTCTAGCGATTAGCATCAATTGTTACACTATCTTTGGGTAGGTGTATGTATATATATAATAGGTATATGTTTATTAATTGTAGTGTTATAAAGGGAAAGAGGGATATTTTCAAACAATGTTGCACACACATTGCACATACAGGTGGTATTGTCTACCTAGGTGCAATCTAAACTATATTTAATACTTCTTGATTGTAAGCTTCTAGAAATAAGTCACAGCTCTGTAACATAGGAAAATCCAGTAATATATTTGATCTCGACAGTGCAGAAGTCACCCCCAAAAGGAAATAGGTGTTCAAAATTTAAGAGCGTGAGACACCCCTTGTGTCAATCTGAAAATTATAAAAACACAATCTGACCAATAGAATTATAGATTGGTATATTTATCTTGAAGATAGTTACCAGCAAGTTTATCCAAAGATGAATAAACCTGGTTATAGCTTATTGTTGTTACCCTGTAAAATTCCATTATTGCTACTAATCTTAACCTTATTTTTTTGTTTGTTTATTATTATGGGGATGTTTATGCTTATTATAAATAATTAAAACGTTGAATAATTTGTTAACAATAATGATCTATGGTCTTTGAAAAATAAACCATAAACAATTCTTACCTGGTAATACTTTAATGCAATTAGAAAAATTATTGGTATCGACTAATTTCTGGGCATAATGGGCCATAGTGGAAGCTTCGACCGCGTAAATCCGCTTCGCCCCAGCTTGAGCGGCGAAAAACGACAAAATCCCAGATCCGGCGCCCACATCTAATACTATTTTGTCCTTAAAATCTTCTAGATTACTTAATATTGCTCTTTGATACGTATAAGTCCTAACAAAGTCTTGTAACATGTTTTGTTGTTGCGATAAATAACCGTAGAATTGGAAATATTGTGTGGCCGAAGAGTCTTCAGTTCGGACAGAGAAAACGGAAGCGTCCCTGCCAGATTTTACTTTAGTTATTGCCAGGGCGAAATTTCGAGCTTCTTCTTTCGTGTTGAACTTAACTAAAAGGGATTCATTGTCGATTGAAAATAGATAGGATTTCATTGCAACTTTGCTACATTCTGTAGCTGAATCGACTGGGAATTCTAGTAATTCCGTCGTACCGTCCATTTCTAGTATTGTAATGCTTACGCCTTGAGGGTCGTAGGCAGCCCTGAGTTTCACTTTTCTATTGTATTTTGGTACCGTAAAGTTTTCTTCTTTAATTAAAAACACTAAAACTTCCCAAATATTCGGCGCCATCGTGTAGTTTTTCGATCAATTTAGCTATTTGTTGAAAATCACTTGTATATTTTGCTTTGTTTTTGTGTTATTTCATTACATTTAGGAGGACGCACGTTTTTTTTTTTTGCTTTTGCGAAAATTCTGTCAAAATACCCACAACAGACTCATCGTTTGACAAACACAAAAGGGCTTTTCTCTTTTATCATCACAGAGAGGAAAACCGGTAAATAAAAAACACTTCGGATAAACTCGGACCACTTTTTGACATCTGCCATGTATAGTTTGGCAATTGGCAATGTGGCAACGTTGTGGCCACTCAAAAAGTGTACTCCCAAAGTGCCATTTGGAACTGTTCAAGTCGATAAAGAGCATTTAAAAAGTTTCGATTTTGCACCAAAAATTTACTTTTATGGCAATTTCCATTTGTCAATCAGTGCGCACTGTGTGTATCCGCATCTTTTTCTAACGGCATATAACATGTAAGGATAAAGATACATTTTTTGTGCACTGGTTCGACAAATAGAAATCGCTATTAGTGTTCCAAATGTATAAAAGAAAGCGCTTAAGAAATAGACAGCTTTTAAATTAGAGAAGGGCTTTTAAATATAAGTATATGGATATCGATACGATATTTTCTCAAAAATCATATCGATACGATATTTCATGAATTTTTTAAACACAATTTTTTGTCTATTTTCGGCTCTTGAATTGACGTCTTTTTTAGGTCTGCATTACGTCTGAATGTCTGAAGACCAGAAAAAGACGTCTAGAAGACATGGTTTTGAATAAATGACGTTATGTTCGACAGGTGTTTGTTGAAATACTGCTGAATTCATATTTCTTATAAAAAATTTAAGACAACTAGACTAGGATGAACAAATCAGAATAAATGTAAAGACGTTGTTTACTTATCTTTGTTTACCCTGGGACGCCATTTTGAATCCAAACTAGCACCATCTATCAACAAACTACTACTACTAATGGGCATTTGGGTATTTTTCTTTTAAAAATCTATTTTTTTAATAAAAAGGTATTATTTTGATGGAAAATAGGTGCAGTTTTATGTTTTTGAATGAAATGGTACTGAAAAAAACCTACCTTGCGATTTCCATGGCTCCAGCCAGCCCAAGATATTTCTTCAACCAGAAGCCCATACAGTTTGTTATTGGCCAATGTTTAGTGTGCCAATCGAACACAAAACAACCCGACGAACAATTTTGAACACTATGCCGCCCGGAAAAATACGAAATTTTACGAAAAACCGACGAGCGATCCGATACGTTGCACACTACTCGGACACGAAAAGGAATTTTGTTGGCAAAATGGCCGCCAGTTCGAGGATTTACAAAGCCTACTTGAATCTCGGACATGCGCAAAGCAAATCAACAAGAAAAAAGCCAATATTATTATAATTTTCAATGTAGAATAAATATTAAAAGTATAATTGACTAGTTTCTGGCATTGTTTTAGTTTTTGGCTTATTTAAAAGAGAAATAAATGCAATACGAAACTGGCGCCATCTAACCGCAAGCTTCCAAACTACTACGTTAAAATTAGATCTAAAGCTTTTTTCATTAAAAAATACAACGTAAAGGGGATGCCTTCAGCGTTGTATGTTTTCGTTACATAGTATGAAATGAACTTACCCTACTTGGGAGCTATTTTCTGAAATAGCGAATTCTATTATGGTAGAACCCTTAGAGCAGGTAAGCTGCCGTAAGACAGCGCTTGCTCTAAGGTAGAACCAGTGCAGAAAAAAAATGTATTTTTATCGCTTTCTTATACAAGCTGGTAGTAAAAGACACGAATACACTCATTGCGTACCCAATAATCCTTCCAATAGAATTCGCTATAATACAAAATTTTGAGTTTTTATACACGGGGACACTTTAAAAATTTACAATAGCTATATCTATACCTGAGGAATCAATACGTGTGTCACCCAATATATGTGTGACGTGCCCTATAGCCCCTAGTCCCCATAAGTCCAAATAAATACTTTTTTTTACTACTAACCTGAGAAATAGACATTATTCAATCTATTTTTCTAGGGAAAAATTGAATTTCTCTCCCTAGGTTAATAATGAAAATAATGAAAAAATACCTAGGTTAATAATGAAAATGACGTCATGACGCAAGGATATTGTCATGTTTCTATTGGTTCAATTTAAATTTCATACATCAATTTGAAAAAAAATACAGGTTTCTGTAGGTACATAGGAAGTTATAGAAGCTGTTGATAGAGGGCAGCACTTTCAAGAGGGCGTTCACAAAAAATAATTAGAACACAGATTTTAAACAAATTTTTTATTTTCTACTAGCAGTAGTAAAAAAAATTCTATATATTCCTCGGTAGAGAAATATAATGACCAACTTCTCTACCTAGGTATATAATATACTATTTTTACTACTAACCTGAGAAATAGTCATTATTCAATCTATTTTTCTAGGGAAAATTTGAATCTCTCTCTAGGTGAATAATGAAAATAGTGAAAAAATACCTAGGTCAATAATGAAAATGACGTCATGACGCAAGGATATTGTTATGTTTCTATTAGTTCAATTTTAATTTCATAAGTCAATTAAAAAAAAAAATACAGGTTTCTGTAGAAGTTATCATAAGCTGTTGATAGAGGGCAGCACTTTCAAGAAAGCGTTTAAAAAAAAAGAGGGAACACAGATTTTAAACAAATTTTTTATTTTCTACTAGCAGTAGTAAAAAAAATTCTATATATTCCTCGGTAGAGAAAGTCATTATATAGGTACCTTACGCATTATAAACCTCGACGCTTCGCGCCCCAGTTAATAAAAGCGCTCGGTATATTATAATGACCAACTTCTTTACCTAGGTATATAATGTACTATTTTTTACTACTAGCCTGAGAAGTAGTCATTATTCAATCCATTTTTGTGGGAAAAAATTGAATTTCTCTCCCTAGGTTAATAATGAAAATAATGAAAAATTACCCAGGTCAATAATGAAAATGACGTCATGACGCAAGGATATTGTCATGGTTATATTGGATCAATTTCAATTTCTCACGTCAATTTAAAAGAAAAATACAGGTTTCTGTAAGTACATAGGAAGTTATCATAAGCTATTGATAGAGGGCAGTACTTTCAAAAGGGCTGAGGAAACTCACTTATGGCCATTTGCACAACTATCACTTAAGGGATATTTAATCGAAGTGGAGCTTTGAATGTGACTTTTGTTTCTACAAGAATCATATTCAAAGCTCTACTTGGAATAAATATCCCTTAAGTTATAGCGGTGCAAATGGCCGTTATAGTTGTCCGATAGGATTTCAGGATTTTAGATTTTTAGCTTTTCAAAAAAAGTTCCTGTCACGCATGTCAGATGAAAGCAGAAGGTGGATTCAGTGACAAGACCAGCATATGACCAGCATCCATGACGCAGGCCCTGCGATCTCTCATTGCCAGTTATAAACCACATAATAACTCTTTTCCGTTTTTCTAGATGTCGCTGACAACCACAGAATTGTCAAAATTGGAAAATACCAGCACATCAAGAACACGTCCGATGTCGATAACTGACATGTCAACACATGACAATATGCCAAAATATTCATTTGATCATAACTAATAATTCATAATGTTTTTTGTTCGCCGGTCTTGCATTTCATCTTTCTTTGTGTTGTCAAGTGTTCTTAAGTGGTTTCAAAAGTTGTTTTAGTGTTTTGAGAAGAACTTCAAACTTTATAGATTGGAAGATCTATTTTTATCTTTGTTAATTAGATAAATGACAGGTTCAATTAAACATCAATCAGAACTTTGAATAAATATGTTAAGGATACCCTTAACCATCGATAAAGAAACTGTCTTTTGATCTAATTAACAAATTATCAATTAATTTAAGCAAACATTAATGCCCCAAAGTCCAGAATAAACGAATTTGAACAGACCGACAGTAATGCAAACAAGGCGCCATCTATCATAAAAAGTCCTATGTAAAGTAGGTGTCTGTAGCATCGGTGCAAAACCAGTAAATAGTGATTTTCCGATATGGTAGATGGCGCTGGCTGGGCTCAATTTTGTTGACAACAAAATTTACACTGAGATTCCATTCTCGACAGTTTATATGGTATTTATCTCTGATCCATGACGTTAACAGTTTTTCAGCTGCCATAATTTAGTAGTTTTCTCATGCTTTTAGTTCAAGTTTTAATAAAGTAAAAGTGCCGAATATTACACCGCAGTTCTCATTTGTCCTGCCCGAAGTTGTGGCCCGATAGACACCACAAATTGGTGACTCCGACGTGATCTGGGCAGAGCTCGTGAACTTTCAGTGCTATCTTTTTGTTTGGAACTGTTTCCGGAAAGTTCCGGCATTGTGGTGAAATGTTTGGTGCCTTTGGTGGACGTGCACGCGCGCGATCACTCTTCCCTGATCCTACAGCAAATCTCAACACTGTAGCGCAGCGAGTAGCAGCGGCAGATCCTTCAGGTACCCTAGGTGGGCTTGAAATTGCTCAGGCTCGTTTAGCTAAATTACCACCTTTTTGGAAAGAAAACCCAATACTTTGGTTTTCGCAGGTTGAAGCCATGTTCGCGATATCTCGTGTCACTGCCGACACTACTAAATTTCATTACATTGTGGCTAACTTATGCCCGTTTCCACCAACTATTTTAGGGAATCCCTAACGATAAGTATTCCCTAAAATGACATTTTTTACATGGAGAAATGTCAGTTTAGGGAATACTTATCGTTAAGGCTCCCCTAAATTAGTTGGTGGAAACGGCCATTAAACACCGAACCACTACCTTTTGTCTCTGACATTATTACAAACCCACCTGCTCAAGATATATATGATACTCTCAAAGAGCGTTTGATTAATTCCTTCTCTGAGACTAATAAGTCCAAACTACGTCGAATGTTCAGAGGCGTCGAGTTTTTCGACGAGAAACCATCAAATTTCCTCCAACGTCTCCGAAATTTGGCTGGCAACCAAGTAAGTGACACTGTTCTACGTACCTTGTTCTTGGAACACTTGCCTGAACAAGTTAGGGGCATCCTGTCCATCAGTGAGCAAGCTTCTCCGAAGGCTACAATACAGCGTCCCACTTGCAAATTCAAGACAAGTCTACCAGACTGCTATTTCTGGTGACAACAGGTGCCGATATTTCGGTTTTGCCCAAGAATAGTCTCAAGTCTTCTGTCAAAACTGCAAAACCAGAAACAAACATGAAGCTTTACGCAGCAAATGGTTCGACAATCGATACCTCCGGAACTA